TATTCTATATGTTCCAAGATTCTATATATTCCACAATATTATTTTACCAAGTTCCATATTCTCCAATATTTTTTTCCACGGCTCTGGTTGTGATGCTTACTGACCTTATACGTTCAGGATGTTCAACGAATGATGTTATCAGTTCCATTTTCACCTTACAAAAGCTTTAAAATTTGTATTAGACTCGCCGCATCAACTGTGAATGTAGCAATTGTAGCATGAAGATGGTTGGTTGGTTGCAGAGAGCGAATATAGCACGCGCATGATCAATGAAGACGGTTTGAATGGTGGTGATTAGGGAATACTGTGATTATGCAAACTGTCACAAATTAATGATTTGTGATAAAAATGATTAGAGCGGTAACAGTATATGTTTTACAAATACGTGTGGAGATGTGACACGTTCAGCAGCAATAAAACGCAAAACAACACCAACAAATGTGCTCCACACTCAATGATTGATGTTCATTTCTGGTTATATTCAACGGAAACTTCACACCAGAGAGCAGCCTTAGACTGACATTTTAGACCATGATTTTACATTTCACAGAACAAAGTTTACTATTCGTCAGATATTTTGACAGTTCTAGCAGCAGCATCAATTCGAAACGAGCTCGCCTCGCTGTTCCCTATTCATGTTTGCCACCTATTCATGTTATGTCCAAATTTGTGCTCAATTGTAGAAGAATATTTGAGATGGACTTAAAAATAAGGCTCTCCTTTTATTTTTATCATAAAGCATTCAACTAAACCAATTGACGATCGCACCAGAACACACAAATGTTAGATGATAGGTGATAGATTTGAAAAATGAAATGAAAATTCGAAAAAAAACGTGTAATTTAAAGAGAAACGCACCTCGGCAGCAGCAGCCTCAGCACTGGGCAATTGCGGTTCATCATCCTCTTTGTCCATATAAGTGTTGATAAGGAATTGTGATACTTGCGTACCGGATTTTGACGATTCCGCGAAATGACTGAGTTCCCTGTTGAGCATTTTTCGGAACTGAATAAATTGAGAATGTTTTCAGTGAAGTCAACAAATGAAGTTATTTAGAATAAGATGAAAATGCAAACAAAACAAAAAAACGAATGCCACTTCGTTTCGCATTCTTGGCACTTCTAAAAATCACTTTTTCTTAGCAATATTTTGAGAAGAACTCTTTTGAGTGAATAAGAACGCATCCAGTAGTCACCAATCGCAATTACGCTATATGAAAGCACCAGTTTATTCCAGCAACAACAAAAAACAATGTTAGCCTAGTACATCCGTTGATTCTGTAACGGCTGAAATCTTTACTAAAAATATCTTGGTATTATGCGAAGTGATAGTTTTCAAAAGATAATCCATTACCACAATATGTTCATGTGGTAATAATGGTCAAGTGCAGAATCAGTTTGAGTTGGAGAATATGAGACGGCTTCAAATGATCAACAAAATCAGTGGGATTTTGGAATGAGACGTTGAGAAATTGAAATAAATCGCCTTGTTACACGATCAAATTTTCATATTGACTCGTTTGAAAAACATACGAGGCATCAAGATGCACGTTGCCATTTAATAATGAAAAGTCAGAACTATTGAAGGGAGTGTGGATGATGGGAGTGTAGGTAATGAATTTTAACAAAAATACAATATCATATGCAATTAAGCTTAATGAATGTTCACTAATTGTAAGTGACGGTAACATTCCGCAGAAAAACTTTGCAAAACACAGTTCTCATTGATACCAACGAGAAATTTTTTTAGGAAATCTATCCCTTTTCTTTTTTCTGTCCCGCACAGAATCGTTGAACCGAATGTCCATGAAAACCCAAACCTTAAGGAAAAATCTATTGAACTCGGAAAAAACAATCCATTTCATGTATCACTCGAGGGAAAGGGATCAAACGATAGAAAGCAACGTTTACGCCATTACACCATAGCAAATAATTCGATCCCACTTTATCCAATGCTTTGTTTCAAAAATCAATTTCTAGTTCCATCGAAACGAATAAACGAATCAAGAAAAACAAAATCACGATCGATCGAGTGTTCAGTGAATATTGTTGTCATTGTAATGTAATTAAAGCATAGTATTCGAACACAAACCATTTGATATCATTCTAAAGTTTAATGAACGCTTAATGAGTAAGCACAAATAATGTGATCGCATTGATTTTCACTGCTAGTCCACTCAAAATTTAGCAGGTGTCGTCCTCTTTTCAAATTATTCTG